CGGGCTCCGAGCCCCCTCTCTCTCTCCGCCTCGGCGCCGTGCGCCGTGCGCCGCGGCGGGCCGCAAGACCGCGCGCGCGCGCGCCCGGGGAGCCCCCCCCCCCTTCTCGGGGGCGGCAAAGAGGGGGGTGATGACTACACCTTAGGCGATGCTTAAGAAAACTTAAGTTTTCGGCCAGAGTCTCGATTATTCTTAACGTTTCAATGTAAATCTTGAGATGTTCATGGAAACGTTGGGTGTTTATTCAAGTTCTGAGACTATGAATTTCTTAACCCATGATTTCTTAAGCATTTCGCAGGGTGTAGGGGGGGGTGAATCTCATGGCGGGGGTCATGATTGTTCCCCGGATTCCACGGCGCCTCTTCTTATTTCATTACGTCCCTGGCCCCCCCCCCTCTGGGCCGCGCACATGCCGCTGGTCCTGATTTGCACCCACCCCTCTTGGACACCCCTCTCTTGGCCGCTCCCGACTCTCGGGAGGGGGGAATTGCGCTACCGAGGAACCCCACATACTGATTTTTAATCTTATGTGTTTGCTTGTCATTATCATCTATGCGCAATGCTGCGTTCTAAACCCTCGTCGCGAATCGTCGTCGTACTTGTCGTACTCGTTGTCGTACTCGTCGTACTCGTCGTCGTACTCGTTGCCGCTCTATCGTCTTACTCGTCATCGTACTCGTCGTCGTACCTCGCCGTCGTACTCGTCTTCGCATTCGTCGTCGTGCTCGTCGCACTCGTCGTCGCACTCGTCGTCGTCGCACTCGACGTCGTCGTACTCGTTGTGTTGGTAGTGCTCGTTGTATTCGTCGCCGCACTCGTGGTCGTCGTCGTCCTCCTCCTCCTCCTCCTCCCCCCTGCGCACCCCCTATGGTGTCGAGAAAGTGCCACGCCTGCTATGCCAGGACGACCGGCGCGTATAGAGACCGCAGCGAGAGACCACCCCCTGCGCACCCCCTATGGTGTCGAGAAAGTGCCACGCCTGCTATGCCTGGACGACCGGCGCGTATAGAGACCGCAGCGAGAGACCACCCCCCTGCGCACCCCTATGGTGTCGAGAAAGTGCCACGCCTGCTATGCCTGGACGACCGGGCGTATAGAGACCGCAGCGAGAGACCACCCCCTGCGCACCCCCTATGGTGTCGAGAAAGTGCCACGCCTGCTATGCCTGGACGACCGGGACGTATAGAGACCGCAGCGAGAGACCACCCCCTGCGCACCCCCTTATGGTGTCGAGAAAGTGCCACGCCTGCTATGCCTGGACGACCGCGCGTATAGAGACGCAGCGAGAGACCACCCCCTGCGCACCCCCTATGGTGTCGAGAAAGTGCCACGCCTGCTATGCCTGGACGACCGGCGCGTATAGAGACCGCAGCGAGAGACCACCCCCTGCGCACCCCCTATGGTGTCGAGAAAGTGCCACGCCTGCTATGCCTGGACGACCGGCGCGTATAGAGACCGCAGCGAGAGACCACCCCCTGCGCACCCCCTATGGTGTCGAGAAAGTGCCACGCCTGCTATGCCAGGACGACCGGCGCGTATAGAGACCGCAGCGAGAGACCACCCCCTGCGCACCCCCTATGGTGTCGAGAAAGTGCCACGCCTGCTATGCCTGGACGACCGGCGCGTATAGACCACCCACCCCCTGCGCACCCCCTATGGTGTCGAGAAAGTGCCACGCCTGCTATGCCTGGACGACCGGCGCGTATAGAGACCGCAGCGAGAGACCACCCCCTGCGCACCCCCTATGGTGTCGAGAAAGTGCCACGCCTGCTATGCCTGGACGACTGGGGCCACGCCTGCTATAGCAGGACGACTGGGGCGTATATAGACCGCAGCGAGAGAGCACCCCCTGCGCACCCCCTTATGGTGTCGAGAAAGTGCCACGCCTGCTATGCCAGGACTGGTGTCGTCTTGTGTGTGCGAGTGTGTGCATGCGTGCGGCTGTATGTAGACGCGTGTCGCCGAGACGTGCTGTGCTGTGCTCTGCTGAGCTGTGCTGTGCTGTCCTATGTTGTGCTGCGGTCTGCTGTGCTGTGCTGCGCTGTGCTGAGGAGGAGGAGGAGGAGGAGGAGGAGGAGGAGGAGGAGGAGGAGGAGGAGGAGGAGGAGGAGGAGGAGGAGGAGTAGGAGGAGGGGAGGAGGGCGGGTGTGGGGGAGACGCGGGCGCGGCGCGGCAGGGAAGAAAACCATAACCCCACGAAGCATGTGGGGAAAAACATGCGGACACAGTGAATCGTCGATTCCCCCAGAAAATATAGGAAACTATGGGAAGTGGTGGGAAGTCGGGGGTGTATAGACCTCCTACCCTGACACGTCGATTAAGGAATTTGCCGTTTTCGGTTCGCGAGAGGGCGTCGCGGCCGTTATTTTTGCGGGTCCAGGTCCGTCGGTTTCGGTCTTAGGCCGTTTTCACTAAGGGGGAGTTTACTAAAGGGAGGTTTGTCCACCGCCGAGGAAGATTAAAAAAACCCGAAGATCTTGGAAAATATGGGAATCCGGTTAGTTGTGTCTATTTGTTTGTGTGTCCCAGGGCCCCTCCACTCTCGGGCGCCCCTCGGCACGGCCGCCCCAGACGGAGCCCCCTCTGGACCCCCCCCGGCCCCACCCCCCCGCCTGTCGGGGGCAGAAAAGAGGGGGGTGATGCCTAGGAGGGGGGTGGATATCATGGCGTGGGCCATGATATCTCCCCAGATCTCGTGGCGCCTCTTCTTAGTTCATTGCGTCCCTGGCCCCCCCGCTGGGCCGCGCACATGCCGCCGGTCATGATTTGCACCCCCCCCTCTTGGACACCCCCCTCTTTGCCGCTCCCCCGCCTGGAGTACTGTAGATCTTGGCTGTGTCTGGCGCCCGCTTCGAGCAGGCGGGGTCTCCCCCGTGAGACGCGCGCGGCTGCAGACGGCCGCGTGGTCGGCAGAGGTGCGGAGAGCTGGAGCCCCCCCCCCCACCTCCCCCTCCTCCTCCTCCTCCTCCTCCTCCTCCTCTCCTCCTCTCCTCCTCCTCCTCCTCCTCCTCCATCTTTCTCTCCTCCTCCTCCTCCTCCTCCTCCTCCTCCTCCTCCTCCTCCATCTCTCTCGTCCTCCTCCTCTCCTCCTCCCTCCTCCGTCTCCTCCTCCTTCCTCCTCCTCCTCCTCCTCCTCCTCCTCCTCCTTCTCCTCCTCCTCCCCCCTCCGCCCAATGTGGAAGCGCGCCGGAGAAGAAAAGGCTCACTTTGCGAGGAGTGGGGCGCGCTTGCCGGCACAGAGAATCACGTGTGCCCCGGGCCGCCCCCCCTAGGGGGCCACATGCGAACCCTACCCTTACCCCCCACGATTTCTGAGGGGAAGGGTGGGGTTCACTTCGCTCGGGAGTTCCCGAACGAAGTGAACCCCACCCTCCCCCTCAGAAATCGTGGGGGGTAGGGGTAGGGTTCGCATGTGGCCCCCTATTGCCGGCACAAAGAGTCACACGTGCCCCGGGCCGCCCCCCCCCCCACTCGAGAGCTCCCCTCGGCGCGCGCCCCGCCCCTGCGCGCGCCGCGGGGCGCCGCGCGGCGGCTCCTCGACCTCGTGGGGCTCTTCGAGCGCGTCGGGGAGGCTTCGGCAGCGCTGGCCGCGGGCGCGGAGCGCCGGGCCTCCCAAAGTCTAGCAGTGGCGAAGCGTCCCGGCTCGCCTGTAGCCCCACCAAACCATGTTCTAAGAATTTGTTTTGTGGTTTCCACGAAATGTTCTTAGAACATGTCGAGTTGATATTGTTTTGTTTTAACACATCGGGCTTATGTTTTGAGAACATCGTTTTTGTTCTTAGAACATTTCGGGGTCTAAGAACATTTCATGGTATGACTTTAGGAATGCCGGGACGGTCGGTCCCTGCTCAACCCAAAGAAGCCGCCGTGGGCGAGTTTCCATTGCACGTAAGTCACCGAGCGCATTCCACTATACTCGCAAAGTGCCTACTCGCAGACGCCCAGAAACAAAAAAAAACACATGTCTGCTCTGATGTAGTGTATCGTAGATCCTCCGCGGGGGATGCAGGCCATTTGCGAGTGGTCACTTTGCGATTCGTGGAAAGTGGAACCTGCTCGTGTAGTAAAAGTGACCCTTCGCCGGAGTGATGACCTTTGAAGCGCGCCCACAGGGGCCCCCCGATCGCCGAGTGCGGTGCGATAGTGGCGTCCAGCGCTCTCGTGTTGGGTCCGCTCGTGGCCCTCAAAAAAAACGCGCAGCAAAGGTCACTCTTACCCAGGGTCACTCTTGTGTGTACAGTCGGCCCAGATTAGTAGGTCCACCCTGCCATATCAAGGGTACCTTTGTGTCCTGTGTCTCGTGGCCCGTGCCTCTTGCGTTCCCATGGTAATGTGGCCGTCGGAAGGGTCTTGTGTCCTCTCGCGTGTCCTCTCCAATCGAGTCCGACTGTAGCCGGGAGTTAGTTTCGAGGGGGGAGGAAAACGAGCCACCCCTTCGGAACGCGAAGAGGCACCGGAAAAACCGCTGCCCTTCTCTCGTTTGCCTCGAGATTCTGGTCCGTCGGGGGTGGACAGACCTCCTACCCTGACACGTCGATTGAGGCATTGGCCATTTTCGGTTCGCGAGAGGGCGTGGCAGCCGTCGTTTTTGCGGGCCCAGGTCCGTCGGTTTCGGTTCCCGGCCGTTTTCGGTAAGGGGAGGTTTATTGAAGGGAGGTTTGTCCAGCGCCGAGTCAGGACGCACCCGGGGAGAGGTCCGGGGAGTATCGGTATCGGTACATTTTTGCCCCCCCAACCCCGACATGTTTTGCGTTTGCTGAGAGACCTTGGGCGTTTACTGAACAGCCCTACCATGTTCGATTCCTTCTCTGGGTGTGCTTGCTAAACGCCTTGGCTTGTCGGAGTGCTTACTGGGAGGTTGGTGTCTGCTCTCTCTCTCTCTCTCTCTCTCTCTACATAAGCTGTCGAGGGAGATGTGCTCAAGTCGAAGACGAAACAAAGGCACACATAAGCTGTCGGGGCTCCGCGTGGGTTCCTCGGAGGGGCGCCGGGGGCGCCAGGCCAATCTGGCGGGCGCCGAGGGTGCATACTGAGTATCTTCGGCACGCCCGAGGGGCGCTGCCGACCTGCAAGGCTCTGCGCCTGTGCATGCACTGTTTTGCGGAGCCTGGCTCCCTGGCTCGAGCGGCCGAGCGACGCGTCTTCTAAGATGTTTTGCTGACACGGTTCGAGATCGATCTTTTCTGTTTCGGCGGTACCCCATGTTATTTTTGGCTGTGGAGGACGATCAATGGAGAGGAAGCATGTTGCCAAATAATTCCCAAATGTCTAAAGCATGTTTCAACCATGTCCTAAACATGTTAACAAACAGGTTTGAAACATTTTAGAACATGTTTTACACATGTTAAACACATCTTTTATTCAATGATAGGATTGTTAGAGTGTCCATCGTAATGGCATCCGCAAACCTTTGGGGGGGAAGGTGCCGGCCGATGTCCAAACCTTCTCGCTTGGGGCAGCCATTGCTCATCCGAGGAGGTCGGGTCGTCCGAGGGGGGCGTGGGGTGGGGGACGGGCCCGGTCGCCAGGTGACTGCCACGCCTTTGATGACGAAAGAAGATCGACTAGACGTAAGAGTGACCTTTCGCCGGAGTGACCTTTGGTGCGGGCACGGATGGGTACCCAGGTGGCTGAAAACGAAGCAGTGGCAGCTGCTTGCGCACCCAGGTTTGGTGCCCCCGCGGCCCCCAGAAAGTCGCGCACCAAAGGTCACTCTTACCCAGGGTCACTCTTGCGTACAGCCGAGAAGAATTGCATAAACATGTAGAATTTCTGTCATGTCCGCGCTGGTTCCTTGGATCGGCGCTGAGCCCCCTCTCTGGCGCGCCAGGGTCGGCGCCGGAGGCGCCGCCAGGGGGGCCCAGCGCCGATCCAAGAAATCCGCGCGAAGCTCGGACAGTTTCTGTGTAAGCGTATTATGCTTACTATTATAATTTTATCGGCGACGCATCGGTGATACATCGCCCCATCCATTTATTGAACACGAAAACCCGAATCCTCATAGCATGATGGAGACGCAGCCGAATAGCGGTCCTTGGATATGCACTAGGGATACTCAGTAAGTCTGGGTGGTTTGGTTCGGTACATCATGATACATCTGCCGCAAAGACACCCCGTCCCTAATGTTTTGCGGCCTTCCTAGTTCAAAATCCACTTCCAAAGGAGGGCTTAGGGCATTTCTGTTGCTAAGCATCGGCTCCTCGGCGATACATCGGCGATGCGTGAGCGACGCAAAACAATTGTCGTCTGAGCCGACATCGGCGCGTAAGCTGCCCGCGCAAGGTCGCGCGTAAGCGCCCTCGTCTCCAAAGTAGCGTGCCGCGCTGGCGGGCCGCGTAAGCCACCGCGTAAGGTCGGTACGCCATCTCGCGTAAGACTCGTTTTTGATCGTCTCTCACGCGGTCCCAGTCTCCGCAGTGGCTCTGCATCGGCGATGCGGCGCGTTTCTATCGACCCCACCTGCTCGGACCCCAAGTGTGTGTGTGGGGGGGGGCATCGCCAGGAGCGGGCGCGCGAGCTCCTCGAGGCGCAGCTGCCCGCCCTGCTCGAGTGCAAGCTCGCGATCCAGCAGGAGCTCGTGCTTCTCCTGGTGCCAACGCGTCGCCAGAGGAGTTTGCCCAGAGGTCCTGGCCCAGCCGTGCGCGCCGTCGCGAAAGAATCCGCACGGGAGGCTTTCCTGGCAGGTTTCGGCCTCTGGTGGGCCTTCGTCGGGCCCCGGACCGTCAGATAACGATTCGGAATGAGAAACGAGTCCTGGGGAAATGGTCGGGACTCTTTGGGGACCTCGAATTTACAACACATTGGACGTCGCATGTTTGGAGGCGCAACATGTGTTCCTCCGGTTTCGGGCTGGGGGCCCTCACACGTCGATGCGCCTCGAAAAATGATGCAGAAAGATGGGGTCTAGGCCCAGGGGCCAGGGTCGTGGTGTCGTTTCGATGTGGCATCTTTTTCTGCAACGTCTGAGCACAAGGAAAAATTGCCACGTAAGAGCACCGCAGAGGAGACGGGGAGCCCCAGACCGCCCGGTCCAGCAGCCGCTTCTCCCGATTTGTCCGTACGGTTTATTCCGAAGTCGCCCTCTCGCCTCAATGTTTGCACATGTTTGGTCGACACGGCTACGATCCCACGTGCCAAATCCACTAGGGTGCATATGACCGTGCTCTCTGGCCCGGTTGCATGTTTTTTTCCCGGGGGATCCCGACTGGCTACAGACGCCATGTCGGCTCGGACTCTCACTCCTCGACCCACCTCTCAGGGTGCACTGCTGCACTGCTGGGGTATTTTCATCCCCTGGCGAGAACGGATGTGATCGGGGGGGAGGGGCCGGTCATGCCACGATTCGCGCCGGCGCCGTCCTTGGGAGTGCTCCGCAGTGGCTCCGTCCCATGCGGGCCCGCTCACGGGCGTTAGATCGCGACTGGTACAAAGACGGGCGCTGCCCTCCCCTCAGTTGCGCCTTCGTGGGCCTCCCGAGCGGGCCCTCGTCGCCGCGGCGGGATTCGCCCCGAAGTCCTCGTCGGGGCGCACCCCGGGAGAGGTCGGGGGAGCAGCGAAGCCACGGGTACCGCTCGGTCACGGCGAGGCTCGGGCCGTTGGCGCGAGTGGGCAGCGGCCGCGGTCGGCGAAGGGCCCCGACGCCCACCGCCTCCCGCAGCGCAACCTCGGCAGGGAATCCGAACCCAACCCGCGCCGATCAACGATTCAGGCAACTCGCCGGGCGGTGGGGGTAGGTTTCGGAGTTCGTCGAACATGCCGCGAGCTTCGAATCCCCCCCCCCGCAGGCCATAGATTTGGGAGAACGAATGCCTGTGCCGGGGAGGGTGTCGGATGGCGCCATCTGACAAAGATCACGACGGGAGGTGTTTGACATTTTTTGGTCACGGGCGTTATCCTGATGTTCGGATGTCGCCACCTGACACAGAGCACGACGGGAGGTGTTTGGCAGTTTCTGGACGCGGGCGTTATCACGACTATCATCAGCCTTGCATTGAGGGGGCTAAGTCGGGGGAGAGGGGAGGGTTTCTTAGAAGCACTCCTGCTTCTTAGCAGGCGTGGGCCGCATCTGTTCTATAGATGCAGGGCTGGCGCCTTCTGAGAAGCCACGTCCTTCTAAGAAGCCTCCGCCCTCCCCCTACCCACGTCGGATGAGGCTAAAACGAAGAGAAATACGCTCCAGAGCGTTTCCGAAACGCTCTCAGAGCGTCCTGGAACGCTCTGAGAAGGTCGCTGCTCCCGAGACATCTTCTAAAGCCGCCAGATCTCAGAGATTCTCGACTTTTCCCAAGACCCGCGACGTCGCGTTTTATTACACAACGTCGACCACCAAAGACTGGACCCCTTCCACGGGACCGGCTTTTCATTCTGAATTGTTTTCGACGGTCTTGGGGCCCTGTAGGGGCCCCCGGACGCCAAAATTAGCGAAACAAATCCAGTCGTGATTGTTTCGTAGTGTGTGGGGATTTGGATGTATCTTCATTATCCGCGTCTTTGCTTTTTCTTATTTCCCAACCATCCTGTGGTGTTGGGTCCTCGTTTTGAAGAGACGGTGCCCCGCGTTCTCCTCTCCTCCTCTCCTCCTCCTCCTCTCCTCCTCCTCCCACCATCATCATCGTCATCATCCTCCATTTCGGCACACCCCTCACACGCTTCGTGGCCCCATAGGGAGCCCCACCGAAGGTCCCAGTGGGTGTGCCCGTATGCGTCCCGCACACCCAATTCGGCACACCTCTCACACGTTTCGTGGCCCCATAGGGAGCCCCACCGAAGGCCCCAGTGGGTGTGCCCGCATGCGTCCCGCACACCCAATTCGGCACACCCCTCACATGTTTCGTGGCCCCATAGGGAGCCCCACCGAAGGCCCCAGTGGGTGTGCCCGCATGCGTCCCGCACACACACACACACACACACACACACACACACCACACACACACACACACACACACACACACACACACACACACACACACACACACACACACACACACACACACACACCACACACACACACACACACACACACACACACACACACACACACACACACACACACACACACACACACACACACACACACACACACACACACACACACACACACACACACACACACACACACACACACACACACACACACCACACACACGGCACACCCCTCACATGTTTCGTGGCCCCATAGGGAGCCCCACCGAAGGTCCCAGTGGGTGTGCCCGCATGCGTCCCGCACACCCAATTCGGTACAGACCTCACACGTTTCGTGGCCCCATAGGGACGCCCCCCGCATGCACAGGCACACCCCTCACACGTTTCGTGGCCCCATAGGGAGCTCCACCGAAGGTCCCAGTGGGTGTGCCCGCATGCGTCCCGCACACCCATTTCGGCACACCCCTCACACGTTTCGTGGCCCCATAGGGAGCTCCACCGAAGGTCCCAGTGGGTGTGCCCGCATGCGTCCCGCACACCCATTTCGGCACACCTTCACACGTTTCGTGGCCCCATAGGGAGCTCCACCGAAGGTCTCAGTGGTGTGCCCGCATGCGTCCCGCACACCCATTCGGCACACCCCTCACACGCACTCACCGAAGGTCCTAGTGCGCCCGCATGCGTCCCGCACACCCATTTCGGCACACCCCTCACACGTTCGTGGCCCCATAGGGAGCTCCACCGAAGGTCCCAGTGGGTGTGCCCGCATGCGTCCCGCACACCCATTTCGGCACACCCCTCACACGTTTCGTGGCCCCATAGGGAGCTCCACCGAAGGTCCCAGTGGGTGTGCCCGCATGCGTCCCGCACACCCATTTCGGCACACCCCTCACACGTTTCGTGGCCCCATAGGGAGCTCCACCGAAGGTCCCAGTGGGTGTGCCCGCATGCGTCCCGCACACCCATTTCGGCACACCCTTCACACGTTTCGTGGCCCCATAGGGAGCTCCACCGAAGGTCCCAGTGGGTGTGCCCGCATGCGTCCCGCACACCCATTTCGGCACACCCCTCACACGTTTCGTGGCCCCATAGGGAGCTCCACCGAAGGTCCCAGTGGGTGTGCCCGCATGCGTCCCGCACACCATTTCGGCACACCCCTCACACGTTTCGTGGCCCCATAGGGAGCTCCACCGAAGGTCCCAGTGGGTGTGCCCGCATGCGTCCCGCACACCCATTTTGGCACACCCTTCACACGTTCGTGGCCCCATAGGGAGCTCCACCGAAGGTCCCAGTGGGTGTGCCCGCATGCGTCCCGCACACCCATTTCGGCACATCCCTCACACGTTCCGCGGCCCCATAGGGAGCCCAACCGAAGGTCCCAGTGGGTGTGCCCGCATGCGTCCCGCACACCCATTTCGGCACACCCCTCACACGTTTCGTGGCCCCATAGGGAGCTCCACCGAAGGTCCCAGTGGGTGTGCCCGCATGCGTCCCGCACACCCATTTCGGCACACCGTCACACGCTTCGTGGCCCCATAGGGAGTCCACCGAAGGCCCCAGTGCTGCCGTCCCGCATGCGTCCCGCACACCCATTTCGGCACATCCCTCACACGTTTCGTGGCCCCATAGGGGGCTCCACCGAAGGTCCCAGTAGGTGTGCATGCATGCGTCCCGCACGCACATGTCGGCCCACCCCTCACTCGTTTCGTGGCCCCATAGGGAGCTCCACCGAAGGTCCCAGTGGGTGTGCCCGCATGCGTCCCGCACACCCATTTTGGCACACCCCTCACACGTTTCGTGGCCCCACAGGAGTTCCGCCGAAGGTCCCATTGGCACAGTCCGCATGCGTCCCCGCCGTTAATTTCGGCACACCCCTCACACGTCTCGTGGCCCCATAGGAGCTCCGCCGAAGGTCCCGGTGGCACAGTCCGCATGCGAATCCGCCATTCATGTCGGCCCACCCCTCACACGCTTCGTGGCCCCATAGGAGCTCCACCGAAGGTCCCGGAGGCACAGTCCGCATGCGTCCCCGCCATTCATTTCAGCACACCCCTCACACGTTTCGTGGCCCCAGAGGAGCTCCGCCGAAGGTCCCCGTGGCACAGTCCGCATGCGTTCCCGCCATTCATGTCGGCACACCCTTCACACGTTTCGTGGCCCCACAGGAGTTCCGCCGAAGGTCCCAGTGGCACAGTCCGCATGCTTTCCCGCTATTCATTTCGGCACACCCCTCACACGCTTCGTGGCCCCATAGGAACTCCACCGACGGTCCCCGTGGCGCAGTCCGCATGCGTCCCCGCCATTCATTTCGGCACGCTTCGTGGCCCCATAGGAGCTCTGCCGAAGGTCCCAGTGGCACAGTTCGCATGCGTCCCCGCCATTAATTTCGGCACACCCCTCACACGTTTCGTGGCCCCATAGGGAACTCCACCGAAGGTCCCCGTGGCGCAGTCCGCATGCGTCTCCCTTGCCCAGTACAGCGCTACGTGGCCCCATATGGAGCCCCACCGCAGGTCCCAGCCAGCCAGCTAGCTCTCTTTGCTCCGCGCAGCGGGCGACCCGCGCGCGTCGCTGGGACCCCTCCGGGGCGACCTGCGCGCGTCGCGGGGGCTCCGTGCTGCGTTCTGCCCAGCGCCTCGCTCGCCCGTCGTCGCTCTGCCCAGCGGCAAGAGCCTTGCCCGCTGTCAGCCAGCCAGCTAGCTCTCTTTGCTCCGCGCAGTGGACGACCCGCGCGCGTCGCTGGGACCCCTCCGGGGCGACCTGCGCGCGTCGCGGGGACTCCGCGCTGCGCTGCGCCCGCAGCCTTGGACTTTGGAGCGCGCGGGCAAAGAGGGAGTAAAGGAAGGGGAGGAAGCGGGCGCGATCCTCGCGGGGGGGCGCGCCGACATTGGCGTCGCGGCGCGCGGGCGATGCCGTCGGGGAGTCCCGGGGAAACTCCTTGCGGCGGCCACGCCCAGCGTCACGAGTACTCAGAGGCAGTCATTGTCAAACTATTGACATCCGTACACAAATGCACCACGCTTTGTCATATTCGCATTCATGCGCGTAGACTCGCTCGCACGCAGATTCATTCACAGTCAGACGCGCGCGCGCAGATTCACCCGTGGTCAGTCCCCCTACGTACTCAGATCAATCGGTGTCGTTCGCGTTGTGTACCACGCCCGTCATGTCGGCACACCCCTAGCACGGTTCGTTGCCTCATAGGGGTCGCCACCGAAAAAGTGAATCAATATTGCGGTACTCGCACCTGCATATGGTTGGGTCCCTCGTCGGGTTAATTTTTATACTAGCCGACAACAGTTTTAAGGAGGGAAACCGAGCAGACATAACGAAACAACGACTCCGATGGAAAGGTGAGAGAATGTGGGAAAAGTGGAAGGGGAATACGAACATCCAGAAAATACGGGAAAACACCGGAAAATCCGTGGATCTGAGTTTTTGTTCAGTTGTGTGTCCCCAGGCCCCATTCAAGTTGTCCTCGTCCTTTCATCGTCTCACACCTCGTGCCTGCCGAGAACGTGTATATATGGATAGATGTGTATATATATAGATATATATACAAGTGGCACGTGTGTGCCCAGGCTCATACAAAAACTGAAAGGGCGTTTGAAGCAGGAGTGAAATGCAACATCGAAGTCGCACTCGAGCGCAAGTGGGGTTGCCACACCTTGCGATGTGTGTACCAGGACCCCCCAGGAAACCTCAGGAGGCCCGACTTGGACACCAGAAGAGGCTCCAGGAGACCCCAGGATTGTGAGTGTTGTGCGTGTGTGTGTGTATGCTTTGTGTGGTGCGTGCTTTTTGTGTGTTGTAGGTGTGTTGTGTTGTGTGTGTGTATTATGTTTGTCTAGCGTGTGATGTGTTGGGCGTGATTTGTGTCTCTGTGCGCATGTAGTTTTGAAACCCCAGGAGGCCCCAGGAAGCCCCAGGCGGCCTCAGGAGGCCCCAGGAGACCCCAGGAGGCTTCAGGAGGCCCCAAGGGGCTCCAGGAGGCCGCAGGAGGCCCCAGGAGGCCCCAGGAGGTTTCAGGAGACCCCCAGGAGGCTCCGAGGCGGGGCCTGGGGTGCCAGAAGGTTCAGAAAGCCACAGGAGGCCCCAGGAGGTTCAGGAGGCCCCCAGGAGGCTCCGAGGCGGGGTCTGGGGCTCGATTTTGGAAGGATTTTTCAAGCGAAACCGCCATTCCCTGAGAATCGGGGTCACAATTATTAACATTACCATGTGTTTTTGAAGGTTTTATGTTAAAATGTTGAAATTCCCATGTGTTTTTGGACCCTGACGTCACGATCTGCGTGAGGGGTGCCACCGATGTTCAGAATGTCGAGGATGTCCCGAGCGAAACGCCCAGAAAAATCGCGGACGCGTGCGCATTAATCGCCTCTGAGCTCTACTCCCTCGGAGAGGTGCGTACCATAATCTATATATATGTGTGTATATGTATGTATGTGTATATATATATATATATATATATATATATATATATACATATATACAGAGCAGGCCGGGGGGGGGGGGGCGGGACATTTTTTTTTGGCACCCCTCACGAGGACCGTGGCCCCCTCGCCGAAAATTCCAGCCCTCAGTCTCCAGAGGCCTCCGAAGAGGCCACAAGAGGCTCCAAGTGGTCCCCTGAGGGCCCCAACAGAGCCCCAAGAGGGCCCCAAGAGGGCCTCCAAGAGACACAAATCGGCACATGTCTTTTGTAGAACAACCATTTTCGGCATACTCGCTGGCTTCTTCTTCACAGTGCCCCAGACGCCCCCGCGGAGCCCCAAGACAGCCCAAGAGAGACCCACGAGGGCCCCAGTCGGCCTGTGGGGCTCACCTGACCCCCCGAGACGGCCCAAGAGGCCCCAAAGCCGACCCAAGAGGCCCCCAAGACGGCCTCAGCGAGGCCCAAGAGGGCCTCGATCGAAATCATGTTCCCGGAAGCCTCTCCGGGAACATGATTTCTGGGTTCCGAGGACGCCCAAGAGGCCCACAAGACAGCCTCAGCGAGGCCCCAGAGGGCCCGAGATGGCTTGAAGATGGCCGAAGAGGGCCCAAGGGGGCCTTCAAGAGGCAAACATCGGCCCATATCCCGTAGTAAAACGTACATTTACAGCATACTCGCTGGCTTCGTCTTCACAGTGCCCCAGACGCCCCCGAGGAGCCCCAAGACAGCCCAAGAGAGACCCAAGAGGGCCCCAGACGGCCCAAAAAGGTCGGCCTGTGGGGATCACCGAACCTCCCGAGACGGCCCAAGAGGCCCCGAAACCGGCCCAGGAGGCCCCCAAGACGGCCTTAGGGAGGCCCAAGAGGGCCCCGTTCGAAATCATGTTCCCGGAAGCTTCTCCGGGAACATGGTTTGTGGGCTCCCAGCGCTCCCTACTGGGCCCCAGGACAGCTTCAGCGAGGCCCCAGAGGGCCCGAGATGGCTTGAAGATGGCCGAAGAGGGCCCCAAGAGGGCCTTCAAGAGGCAACAATCAGTCCGTCCCCGTAGTAAAACGTACGGCAGCTGCCGTCCCTTCGTGCTGGGCGCGTGCGAACCTGGCGTTCAGTTTGGATGGAACGTGTCGGGTCTGTTGCCCATCGGGGCTGCGCCAGGTTAGGCCACCACCAAGGTCAGGTTCGGGAATGGGTCGTAGCAACACGACGACGACGACGACGACGACGACGACGACGACGGCACGCCCCAACAGGCTCCCCAAGACGCCCCAAACCAATGCTCCCAGAAGGCCTGCCTTATGGGAACCCGATTCATGCGGCCTCCGCCCCCCTACACAACAATTTTCCTCCAAGGCCTTTCGGAATGCAGATTGGTATGCGTGGACTGTGGTCCACTACTGCAGTGGAGCAGTGAATTCGTCAAGGCCTTGGACTTGCTAGAACCTGAGCGCGCGCGAAGCGCGCGATGGTTCTAGTATATATATGTGTATACACATACGTTTGTGTATGTATGTGTATATACATACACATATATATATATACACATAGTTGTATAATTATAGATATGTGTATGACGGCCCCTTGTCATCACACATATTCCTCATCCTTGACTGCGTCTCCTCCGTCGTCTTCATTTCGCGTCTGAGGAGGAGAGGAGGGGAAGGAGGCGACGAGGAGGACGACGAGGAGGGGAGGGGACGAGGAGGATGGGGACGAGGATTGGAAAGAAGGCACCATGTATGGTGACAGGGGGGAGCACTTATATATATATATATATATATATATATATACCGTGCTGTTTTTAAAACATGCTCCGCGTGCGAATCATTAATAAAAAATGCCGGGATTTGGTAATAAACGCAACGATGAGTTCACGCATGTATTTTTCATACATTAGTCATGTATTTAAGTATCATAGGTTTCTAAATCCTATGTGTTAAGAATTGCTTGGTATATACATACACACGTAACATACATGTACACACATATATATATATATATATATGTATGTATGTGTCTTTTGTACGTACATACATATACCGAATCAAGAAACAATGGCTGCAGTGCGCCGCCGTGGGCGCGGGCGTGCCGGACGCGGAGCTCGTCGGGAGGAGCCCGCCGGGTGGGCCTCTCGTGTGCGCCGCCGCCTGCCGCGGCGGGGCCTTCCCCTGCGCCCCCGGGGCGGATTTGGCGGAAGGAGGAGGAGGAAGGAGGAGGAGGAGGAGGTGGAGGAGGAGGAGGAGGAGGAGAGAGGAGGAGGAGGAGGAGGAGGAGGAGGAGGAGGAGGAGAGGGAGGAGGAGGAGGAGGAGGAGGAGGAGGAGGAGGAGGAAGGAAGGAGGCGCGGCACGCGAAACAGCCAACGGGTTTCCTCCCGGAAGGACGAAGACATTTTCCCGGAGGTCGATTTTAGCAGTCACTGATCTAGCAGCCCTTGCCCGGCTTCCGACTGGGGCGGAGTGCTTAGATGCTCGTTTGGGGGGGACCTCCCTGGGACCAACCTAACGGATTTGTTCGACTCAAGGGCGGCTGGCGCCTGGCCAGCGGCCGCGGTCGGCGAAGGGCCCCGGCACCTCCCGCCTCTCGCAGCGCAACCTCGGCGGCGAAGTCCGAATCGCCGATCGACGATTCAGGCAACTCGCCGGGGCGGTGGGGGCTGGGGTTCGGAATTCGTCGAACATGCGGCGAGCTTCGAGCCCTACAGTCGGCCCGGAGTAGTAGGTCGACTCTGCCAGCTCAAGGGTACCCTTGTGTCCTGTGCCTCGCGACACGTGCCTCCTGCATTCCTGTGGCATTGTGGCCCTCGGAAGGGTCTTGTGTCCTCTCGCGTGTCCTCTCCAATCAAGCCCGACGGTACCCCCGCCGGCCATGGATCTGGGAGCGCGGGTGGCGGAGCGCGAAGCCTACCCCTCGCCCATCAGCAAGCCAGCAGGGGCGCCACCCGATGGCGCGAGGTCTATTCGCGCTCTCCGCGGTACGGCTCCGAGGCCTAGTCGTCCTCCGCTTCCTCCCCTTTGGGGGAGGAGGAGGAGGAGGAGGAGGAGGAGGAGGAGGAGGAGGAGGAGGAGGAGGAGGAGGAGGAGGAGGAGGAGGAGGAGGAGGGGGAGGGGGCGCGAGAGCGGGCCCGTCGGTCGCTGAAAGTGGGCAGTTCTGGATCCCCAGATCCCAATCTGACTACGTTGGGCGCCCTCCCTGCCTCTAAGAGTCGAGTGGTCTTCCGTCTTCCCTCTTCCCCTCTGCCTTCCCTCGAGCGGAAGCCCCCTCGACTTTCACCGCCCTCCTACTTCATGCTTCTACCGTCTTCTTCCGACCGGCGGATGCTCTTGTCTGCCACGCGCAGAGGGGGTAGGGGGGCAGGGGGAGGAGGGACGCGGGCTTCTACGAGACGCGGGCCCGACATCTATAGATAAGGCCCCACGCCTTCTAAAAATCAGCCTCTTGCTAAGAAGCCTTCGCCCCCCCCTACCCACCTGTGCGCGCCGCCAACTCTCCTGGGCTAGGCCAGAGGGGCGTATACATCGGGAAGGAGCAAGAGTCAGAGGAGGAAACGTTTCGCATACCGCTACCGTTGCCCCGTTTTCCTCCATTTTTGGCCTCCTGGGAGACCCTCGTCGCCACCGCTGCATTCGCCTCGAAAGTCTGGACAGAATTCACCAGGGGAGAGGTTCGGGGAGTAGTGGTATTGGTACCTTGTGGCTTCCCCTAAGGGTACCAATGCCAGGCTGCAGTTGGTAGCCCGTCAGCGTGTTGCTCCTCGGTTTTGTCCGAAGACCGGGTGCTTCTTCACCAGTAACGCGAAGATGGGCTCCCCACCGCAGCCTGTCATTGCCATTGATTTTGCTTCCCGGTGTACCATGCCAGGGCCCATGATGGCCCTGGCCGGGTATGCTGGTGGTGTACAGATGCCGTCTGTGCAGAGGAGTTTGGCGTCGGCGCAGGCGGCCCAGGCCGAGGCGCGGGAGTTCCTGACGTCCAACGAGGTCCAGAGGAGACGAAGATTCCGGTACCGATGCCCTGCCTTCGCTTTCGCCCTTCTGGGCCTCCTCCTCCTCCTCCTCCTCCTCCTCCTCCTCCTCCTCCTCCTCCTCCCTCCTCCCTCCTCCCTCCTCCCTCCTCCCTCCTCCCTCGAACCCAGGTCAGAACGCCTCACGCTCTCCCGATCTCTCCTCCCTGCTCCGCCCTTCCCTGCCTCTTAGCAGTCCGCCCGCCTGCTCATCATGTGGGTTCAGTCTCACACATTCGTTCGGATGCAACTCCTGGGAGGTCAAATTCTGACTTTGCCCTGGTCGGACATCCGGCTTCATCCCGCTTGATCCCGCTTGCTCTGGCTTCATCCCGCTTTATCCGAGGCCCACTCCGGCGTAACAGCTCCCAAATGGGGCTGAATCCCTCTTAATCTATCCTCGGAGGTGGACAGACCTCCTACCCTGACACGTCGATTGAGGAATTGGCCGCTTTCGGTTCGCGGGATGGCGTCGCGGCCGTTCTTTTTGCGGGTCCAGGTACGTCGGTTGCGGCCCCAGGCCGTTTTCGTTTAAGGGGAGGTTTACTAAAGGGAGGTTTGTCCACCGCTGATATCCGACGAAAGCCTCCCCGCTGCAAGAGTGAAGTCGGGCCTGTCCCCTTACAGGGGGATTTTCGACGAAGGATAAAACATACCCCAACAAATATACAAAACATATATTCCGAAACTAGTCGGGGGACTCTTGTGGGAGTTTTTTTTTTAGTTTTTTTTTAAAAATACCTTTTTGGGGTAGTTTCGGGGTATCTCTCTCATTTTTCGTCGAAGATCCCCGTGGAGGGGGACGGGCCCGACATACACCTTAGGCGATGCTTAAGAAAACCCAAGTTTTCGGCCAGAGTCTCGATTATTCTTAACGTTTCAATGTAAATCCTAAGATTTGAATGGAAATGTTTGGGTTTTTATTCAAGTTCTGAGACTATGAATTTCTTAACCCATGATTTCTTAAGCATTTCGTAGGGTGTAATGCTAGAGGTGCCCAGCACCCTGGGCCGAGGGCACCTTCCGCAGCCCCCTGCGCGCGCCGTGGCCCCCCCCCCGCACGGGGAGCTCCGGGAGGGCCGCCGACCGCCCCACGGTGGCCCACCTCGGCACACCTCCCGCGCGCCTCGTGCTCCGCCCAGGGCCCCCAGCGGGGAGGAGGACGAGGAGGACGAGGAGGAGGAGGAGGAGGAGGAGGAGGAGGGCGAGGAATGGAGAGGGGGAGGAGGAGGAGGAGGAGGAGGAGGACGAGGAGGAGGAGGAGGAGGAGGAGGAGGAGGAGGGCGAGGAATGGAAAGGGGGAGGAGGAGGAGGAGGGCGAGGAATGGAGAGGGGGAGGAGGAGGAGGAGGAGGAGGAGGAGGTCGCTCCCCCCTGGACCCCAGGCACCGTCGCACCCAGACACGCCCACCCCTCCTGCCCTCCCTCGCGTCCATCTTCGGAGACGAACGCCGAACTGGAATCAACCGTTCCGCATCGGGAGCCCTGAGACGGGGGTCCATGCCAACGGGGGTCAGCCAGAGCGCCGGATCCTGCAGGACGCTGCAGGGCCTGGGCTGCACGGACCTGGGCCTGCGTGCAGGATCTCGCAGGGTCCTGCAAGATCTTGCAGGATACTGCAAAGCCCGACTGACACGGGCTGGGATTGACCCGGGTCAGTAGACCCCCATAATTACGGCGAGCTGGTGTATGCTATACCGTCCTTCGTCCGCTACAGCTCCAGCACGCCTCTCACACGGCGCGTGCCCCGGGGGGGGGGGTCCGACGCGCTTGTGCGCGCTTGCCCCGCAGCCCCCCCGCGCGCCTTGCCTCGCGGCGCCCAGTTTGTGAAGAGAGCCAAGAGAGGGCCACGCTCTGCTCTGCGCAGGGCTGGGCCCTTCGCCAGGCTAGAGGGCCTTTTTTCGTTAGATTCAGACAATTTGCACGTCCGTCGGTCGTTGAAAGTAGAGGTAGTTCGTGTGGGATATCCAGATCCCAATCTACTTCAAGCGCCATCCGACTGCAAGACTCAGTACGCGTTTGCTGTGTTTTGTTGTTCTCTGGGATGTGCTGAATCAAATGTATTTGATCCGCCTTTTTACTCAATGTTTTTTATCTACTCCTTCCGACCGACGTTGCATGGCATTTCCCCCCCCCCTCACCTGCTCCCCATCCCCCCTTCCCCGCCGCCTTTTCAAGCAATGATTGGCCGAAAAGGCGTGCAGGTGAGTCCCGGCTTGCGTGAAGTCCACAATGCCATTTCCACTTCCATTTCCACGCAAAGAAAAATTGCCTCCTAATGTCGGGTATAGCCAGGACCCCGGTTAAGGGGAACCGGTTAGTGATTGGGCACCGAAGCCCAACACATGGATTGGAATCACTAAGCTAGGTTTGCCGTAGTTGGTGCTTTTCGGGTGACGGCAGTTCCAGTTAGTGGAACGGGGCGGGGGGGCGCCCCCCAGTACACATCATTAAACCAGGTGTTACTAAACCTAGTTCTGCCAATGTCCGATAATGCTCCCTTCCTCTGCAGGTGGACGTGTCCGACATCGTGCCCACCAAGTTCGTGGAGGAGATGCTGCCGCACCCGGCGGCCTTCCAGAAGTACAAGAGCCCAGAGGCCGTCGGCGGAGACCACTACCTGCCAGTGTTGCGGCTGCTCACGTACAACATCTTCATACGCGCGCCCGCGCCGCAATTCACCCACAACACCGACGACGACAGGAAGGACGAGAGGCTGTCGCGGTTCGTGGAGCACCTCTCTCGCTACGACGTGGCCTTCGGGGGAGGACGAGATGCGGACACCGCTGCTCGTGCTGGCGAGCCCTCTTCGCCGCCACGGCTGGATTCACCTCGAGATGCTGGTCACGACGCACCCTGGCAGCGGTACCAGTGCCCTTCTTGGTCCCCCCCAGGTCTGCCTCCAGGAGGCATTCGGCTCTTTCTCCCACCGGATCGACTGGCTGGTCGGCGCGGCGAGAGAGCAGGGATTCCACGAGTTCCACAGGTCGACCACGAACGTGTGGCCTCGCTACTTCATCGACGGGGGCCTGATGATCATGTCGCGCCTGCCTATTGTTGCAAGGTCCGCTACCACGTTCGAGCCTGGCACCTACATCGACAGACTCACCGCCAAGGCGCGCCCGCCCCTCCGTCGGGCCTGGACGGAGCGATGCGCCCCTGGGGCCTCGTGGGAGGTCCAGCGGAGTGATACCCCACGCAGATCAGGCTGAGACCTCGCCGTCCCTGGGTGGGCTGCGAATTGCCGAACCGTCGCCCCTTTTGTCAGCACCTGGGAGGTTCAGCAGGGTGGTGCCCAATGCACATCACAAGAAGACCTCGCCGTCCCTGCGGGGCCGCGATCTGCGTAAGTGCCGCCACGTTCGTGGGCACTAGGGAGGTCCAGCGGAGTGGTGCCCCACGCAGAGTAGAAGACAACCTCGCCCTCCCTGGGGGCTGCGAGCTGCTAAAGTGATACCTTTTCGGTGGGCGGACTGGGGGGTCCAGCGGAATATTTTCCCATGCTGGCCAGAATGAGACTTCGTTGTCCCTTGGGGGCTGCGAATCACTCGCGTGGGCTACTTGAAAGTCTAGCAGAGTGGTGTCCCACACATATCAGACTGAGACCTCGGCGTCCCAGCCTTGGGGACTGCGAGCTGCGAAAGTGTTGCCGCATTCGGGGGGCCCAGGGTGGTCCAGCTGAGTTGTGCCCGGCGCTGATCAGAACGAGACCCCGTCGTCCATGGCGTCCACGGCGGACCGCGAATTTGGAAATTGTCGCCACTTTCGTGGGCCCCTGGGAGGTGCAGCGGAGTGATCCCCCACGCATATGTGAATGAGACCTCGCCGTCCTTGGGTGGGCTGCGAACTGCGAGACAGTCACCTCTTTCGTGGGCCCCTGATAGTCCAGCGGAATGGTGTCCCACGCTGATTCGACTGACACCTCGCCGGCCTTGGGGGGGCTGCGAAACGTGAAGCAATCGTCTGTCTCGTTTGCTTCTGGGAGGTCCAGCGACATGGCATCTCACGCAGATCAGGCTGAGACCTCGCCGTCCTCGGGCGGCGACGAGCTGCCAATTGAGTGTCGCCACCTTCGGGGGTCCTGGGAGCCAGGCGGCCCAGCGGAGTGGTGCCCCGCGCCGACCAGACTGCGACCTCAACGTCCCTGCGGAGCCGATGTCGCCGTCTGGGCCAGGTTTGTAGCCGGCGTCGAGGCGAGATCACGACTCATGAACAACTTGTGGGGCAGTCTCCAGTGATGCGGCCAGGGTTCCCTGCTTCGCTTGTGGCGCTCTTCTGTGGTCTTCTGTCTTCTGTTCACACCGTCCAGTGAAACGCTATTGGGGATAAACGTCATAGAGAATATTCGGTCAAGGAAGAATCTATTCTGGAATAGCTCCTGCCTCCTGGAATTCTAGTCGCCAGATGTGTTGAAAGAGCTGGGGGCGTCCCTGGATCATTACACGGCATCGTGGTCGTCTGGGCCAAGTTTGTAGCCGGCATCCAGGCGAGAGCACGATTCACGAGTAAGTTGTGGGGAAGTCTCAGGCGATGCGGCTAGGGTTCCCCGTCCCCCGAGAGGGACTTTTCTCGTGTCATTTGTTTATACCATCCAGTGGAACGCGTTTGGAGAAAGTCGTCCTATGGAATCTTCCCTTAGGGCAAGCTTCAATAGGGAATCGCTCCTGCCTCATGGGGATACAGTCGCCGCATGTGCATAAAGGACTGGGTACGTCCATGGGTAATTTCAAGTTGTCGTGGCCGTCTGCGTCAGATATATAGCCGTCCTCCAGGCGAGAGCATGACACATGAACAAGTTGCGGGGAAGTCTTCAGAGATGCGGCTAGGGTTCCTTGTTTCCCTTGTTGGACGTTTCTGTGGCCATTTCTTCTCACCATCCAGCGAAACGCTATAAGAGAAAGACGTCATACGGCATTTCCGTTTAGGAAAAGAGCTATTCGGGAATCGCTCTTGCATGTAATCTCTTTTTGGATTATGCAGTATCCCTTTGGAGTTCTAGTCGCCATATGTGCAAAAGAAGGACTGGGAACGTCCCTGGGTAATTGGAAGGGGTCATGACCGTCCAGGCCACTCATGCCGCCGGCATGGAGACGAGAGCACGATTCCTGAACAAGTGGTGGGAGAGTCTCCGGCGACGCGGCCAGGGTTCCCCGTGTCCTTTGTGGGTCTCTTCTGCGGCAACTTCGTCCCACCCTCCAGCGAGTTTCCGGTTCGGAGGTTATGGTTAGGGAAGAAGCTATTCGGGAATTTTTCCTGCCTCTAGGAATTCTAGATGGCATGTGTGGTGAAAGAGCCGGGTACTTCCCTGGATCATTTGAAGGGGTAGTGGTCGTCTTGGTCGTCATCGAGGCGAGAGTTCGATTCATGATTAAGTTGTGGGGGAGTCTCCAGTGATGCAGCTAGGGTTTCTTGTTTCCTACAGCTCTTCTTTTGGTCAATTGTTTCCAGAATTCAACCCAAGTGCTGTTAGGGCAAAACGTCATAAGGAATTTCCGTTTGGGGGAAGAGCTATCTGGGAAACGCCCCTGCCTTCTGAATTGTAGTCGCCTTATGGCAAGAAATGGCAAGCGAGAGCACGGTCCATCGATCAGTTACACCCGAAGCACGCAAGGGGCTCTCAGGAGACCCACTGTAGACCGAAAGTATGCAATCGCCTATTGCAGTCGGCGTGTTCGTTACCTCTCCCTGGACTGCTAAATATAGTCTCCGATGTGGGTCCTGCTCTCAGAGAGGCCAATTGGCAAAACAGACGTCCACCAATACTGTTTTCCCATTGGCCCCATGACTGCTTGCCTTAGGTGGCCGCACCCTGCGCGCCTAGCACTGAGAGCCGATGTGTAGTGCCACATGACTTGCCTTGGCATCGCTCGCACGTGTGCATTTTTTCTCGGCGTGAACCATCGAGGACCATCCGATCAAAAACAACACGCACGAGACCGACAAATGCACGGAAAAAACGGACGTCCGAGCGACGGCATGCCTTGCGAACGAAGGACCGAACGGGGCGCCCCAGCGGCCTCGGAGAGAGCCCCCAGAGCGCCCTGGGACGGCCAAGACCCCCCGCCCAGGGCTGCCCCAGGGCAGCCCGAGGACCCGCCCGAGACTTCACGCAACCATTTGGATGTCGCGGTGCGGCCCCCGCGCGCGCGCCGAGGCCCTCGTGGATCCACGGGGGGGCGAATTGAGACCACTGTGGCTGGCCGCTGGGGGGCTCTCGCGTCTCCGCGGCTGGACGCAGCTCGGGAAACCTGCGCGTCGGGACACCGGGAGGGGTCTGTGGGCCAATGTGGAGCTGCCGCCGTCTCCACTCGCCCTTCGTCGGGCGACGCAGTCTACACACACATCCACGGCTCCCTGGCCAGGCCCATCCTGAACCCAGGAGCTGCGTATACGCCCTCCTGGCCGAACCAGGAGGGCGTGGCGTCTACACAGCTGCTGTGTTCAGGATGGGCCTGGCCAGGGAGCAGTGGATATGTATAGATTGCGTCGCCCTACCTTCGGAGCACACCGCCCCATGGCGCGGGCCAGTGGCGTGGGCAGTCTGATGCGCAACGATCTCAGCGTCAAGGACCGGTGCCCCTCGCAGGCCGACGGGGCCAGGCTTGTCGTCAAGAACTCGTTCTTCGAGTTGGTCGACGCCGCGTCCGGACTCCGCCGAAGCAAGAGCGACGGTCATTTAGCATGCACGATTGGGGGATGCCTTGTTCAGATGGATGCGGCTCAAGTTGCACCCTCAGATGCCATGGAGGGGCTTACGCGCATGGCCGGCTGTCTTCATGTGAGCGCAACAACAGACGCCACCACCCACCATTCGTTCTCAGACTCTGCCTCGGTCGCTTCGGGTAGCCGCTGCTCCTGGGCGGAGATAAGCGACTGCAGCCAATATCATATCGGTGGATGCTTCGGGTTCAGCGACGACTCCCAGGATGAGTATCACGACACCTCCAGCTTGGTGCCGCCCACGAATCACAGCTCTTCGAGTGGGGAGGCGTACGAGCTCGTGGAGCAGCGGGAGTGGTGGATCAGCAAGGGGTCGGTTCACGCCGCTGGCACTTGCAGGCCGTGCGTGAAGGTTTTCGATTTGCCGCGCAAGGCCAAGGCCAGGAATCGGCCCAGCAAGACCGCAAGGCTGCACTGCAAGCAGCTGGTCGCGGCGATGGACGGCGCGCGTGGGAGCGACCTGCATGCCGCCTTGGGGCTGCCCAGCGGTGGCGAGCGCCAAGCGTTGGCGGGCCAAGGTGTGCGCATCCAGGACCAGGAGTACGGGGCCCAAACATATCACCACCACCACCTCCCTCACCCCCTTCCTCTCCCAGGAAAGAGATGGGGAAGAGGAGTGTCAAGGAGGGAGGAGGAATCGATGTGGTGGTGATGCATATGCTTGGGACCCGCAAGGAGTACGTGCTCAGGGTCTTCAGGGCAAGGCAGCGGGAGCAGCAGGCGCCCTGAGGCCTGGCGCAGGACGCCCCGCTCGCGGGTGCGGGGCGGCAGCCGCGCCGCAACTGGAAGCGCGCGCGGCTTCTGGGGCAGGGGGGAGGGGTTCCACGGAGGCCCCCACGGCCTCCAGAGCACCCCATCACGAGGCCCCGAGGGCCGCAGGGGCTCCACAGTGGACCGAAAAGCTGGGGGCACCCCGGGCCAGGGGCACCTCTAGCACCCCCGAATGAAAAACGTGTCGTGAGGATTCATTGTTTTATCTTCTGTCACGTAACGGCCGCCACCCAGCCCCCCCCCCCCGGGAAAGGGTAACGATCGTACGTGTGTGTGTGTGTGGGGGGTGGGTCTGGACCCCTTTCCCCTGTCACATGTTGGTGCTCGCGCGCACACTTTGGCGCTCGCAACGCACACCCGCCCCGACGCGCTCCTCCCCGCCCAAGCGTTACTTCTACCCGAGGTAATCGACGTGAGGATCAGAGTGAGGGGGTGGCTGGGTCGTATGCGAGGCTCTGACTAAAGAATCCCGCCGCAAGAGCACATTTAAACAAAGCAATGCAATGAACCCGCCGCAAGTGCCGATATTTCTGTCAAACCAATGTGGGTCGGCTGCGGGTGGGTCGGGGAATGGGTCGCGGGATGGGTCGCGTGGCGGGTCGCGGGGTGGGTCGCGGAGTGGGGCGCGGTTGAGGACGACGACAAGAATCGTTTCAAGATTGTGCGCTCTTATCTGCTCCCGTACCATCTTATACGTACATCAAGCCCTCGGTTCCCGCCGTCTTCGTTTTCGATCGTACCCCTCTTGGGGTATCTTTGAATTACCTTCCACGTGTATTTGTTGCACCCCCTAACTCAAGGGAAGAGAGGGCGGATGGAAGGAAGGGGCAAGGGGGAGGGAGAAGGATGGAACACGAGAAAGAGTTGCAGGAGGGGGTACAGGAGCAGAAAACAAGTGGCAGAACCAGACTGGCAGATCAGGCGGGTAGACCCAAAGGGCGGGTCAGGAAGGCGGGCCAGGCGGCCATCGAGCAGGCGGGTTGCTGAAGGGTGCGCCCTGCATGAATCGCGTGGAAACTCGAGTGATAGCGCAGTTCCCACGCAAATAAAGAGAACATCCAGAGCAAGAGCTTGATTTCTGAGTGTCGAGGGCACGGCGCCGCAATACATCGCGAGGAAGTTCCTCACGAGAACGCGATCTCTGTATAAATTACGTAGCTCCCCGCAGTTGCGGATACGAGTGGGGGGGAGGCGGCGGGGACGTCGGCAGTCTGCGAGGCTCTGAAGAAACCCGCCGCAGGCGCTTACTTTTCATCAGATGTATACAACCAAGCCCCCGGAGGCGCCGCGTTGCTCGCTAAGCAATGTGGGTGGGTCGTGGGTGGGTCGCGCGTCGGTCACGGGGGGGACGGCGACAACAATAACAGCAAGAACGGCAATAACAATTTCAGCTGAATGCTCCACGATTCTGTATTCAGCATACATCCATTATGATACATGCCCCCATCATGGGCGATTATTCCCTTACCCAGATCCCCCGCTTGAGGAGGTTTTGGCAATCCCTTGTCTGAGGCACTTCAGCATTTCGATCACTGATGACACATCGCCTTCGCAATCGTACTGCCCACGCCTTGCTTCTAGGCACGACCACGCCCGAGTGGCCCAAAACATGTGGGAGAGGCCTCGCAACCATTGAAAGAGCCCCCGGAATCCTTCGGACAGCCTCTAGAGCCCGTTGTCGAGCCCCTTGAGCCTTTCAGAGAAGCTTCAGGACCCGTGTAGGAAACGTGACGGCCTGTGGGAGACGCGTTGAAGCTGAACTGGGGGATGTCGGGGCATTGTGAAAGAGGCTTCGAGGTTATTATACATATATATATATATATATATATATATATATATATATTTATATATATACACAGAATATTTGTATAACACACACAGATCTATATACACAAACATAGGTATGTTTACATACATTTATGTGTGTTTATGTTTGTACGCATGTATGGATGAATGCATGACTGAACGTAAATGTATATGTAGTTGTATATGGGTAAGTGTATGTATATATGCATACATACACACATTTAGTATATGTATAATACATACATGGAATATTTGTGTGTGTGTACATATACATATAACGGCGCACCGGGTCCGGGGGCCCGGGGCCGGGACCTCGACCACAAATGTGGGCCCCGGGGGCCCCGGAGGCTCGTCGGGGCTTGCCAGAGGCCTCCCCGGTCAGACAAGACGGCCCAAGAAGCGCCCAAGACGGCCCAAGAAATTTCCAAGAGGCCTCCAAGAGGGCTCCAAGATGCTGAAGATGGCCTCCAGACGTCCAAGGACGCCCCCTAAGACGCCCCAAGAAGCCTCCAACATGCGTCCCAAGAGGGCCCCTAGACGCAAAAATTGGCCCATTCCCTTCGTAAAACGTACATTTTCACAAAGTCGCCTTTTGGGCTTTCCGACGTTACAGGACGGCCCAAGAGGCGCCCAAGACCGCCCCAAGACGGCCCAAGAAGCTTCCAAGAGGGCCCCAGGACAGCCCAAGAGGGCCCCAAGACGGCCCAAGAGGCGCCCAAGATGGCCCAAGAGGGCCCCAAGACGGGCCCAAGAGGGGGCCCAGAGGGGGACCACGAACCGCAAGCTCGAGCCTTCCGCCCCAAGAGGCCGCCAGGAGGCCCCAAGGAGGCCCCTCAAGAGGCCCCAGGAGACCCCCAAGAGGCCCAAAGGAGGCCCCGAGAAGCCCCAAATCGGCCCCCAAAATGCTTCGAACCTGCTTCCAGGAGGCCCCCGACAGGTTCAGAGGCTCCCGAGAAGCTACGTCAAACTCCCAGCGAGCGGCCGGACGAGGCCCCCCACAAAATCACAAGAGGGTTCCAGTATTTGTATCCTTCAGCGCTCTCTGGCCTTCTTCCCCCTGCCCCCTTCCCTGCGACTTTCGTTGACTGAAGTTCGCCTCCTAGCTAGAACCTAAGCGCGCGCGAAGCGCGCGCGTGTTTCTAGTATATATATATATACAATAAAGAGAACCAAACTTGGGTCGGCGGAACTTCTATGTCTTGGGGGGGAAGAGGAGGGAGCAGGAGGAGGAAGTGGAGGAACGGAGGAAGGAGGAGGGTAAATAAGGGGGGTCGGAGGAGGAGGAGGCGGAGGAGGAGGAGGAGGACAAGGAGGAGGAGGAGGCGGAGGAGGAGGAGGAGGAGGAGGAGGAGGAGGAACAGGAGCAGGAGCAGAAGCAGGAACAGGAGCAGGAGCAGTAGCAGGATCAGGAGCAGGAGGACGAGGAGGAGGAGGAGGAGGAGGAGGAGGAGGAGGAGGAGGAGGAGGGCGACGACGACGGGGTCGCTGCCGCGGGCCCTCGAGCCGCCCATGGCACGCGGAGCGCGCCAGGGAGGCACTGGCGCAGACCTCCGACAGTGCATGCTGCGTTTTTGGATCGGCATTGCGCAGCTGCACAGGGACTCTGGGATTCTTGAATCACAACGAGGGAGGGATCGAGCTGGAGCGTCGTTGTTTGCAGAGCGGGGCCGTGTGCGGCGCCGGGGAGGGAGCGTCGGTCCTGAGTCAGGGAATATCGAGCGGGAGCACCAGTTTTGTTGGAAAGCCCGTTTTCGGCGGCGAGCAGTTGCCCCAGTCCCGAGTAGAAAAGGTGGAAGTACCGAGCGGGAGCGCTGTTGTCCTCGGGGGCCAGTCTTGGCGGATTCCCGAAACGCCCGAGCGCGAGCCTCTATTTCAGAGGACATGCAGACGGCGCCGAGCCGAGAGCGCCACGGCGCACGTGGGGGATCCAGCCATGAAAAGTGTTTCAGAATTCAGATCCAACGCTAACGGCGACAACACTTACAACAACAGCAGCAACAACACCAATAACATCATTAGCAGCAACATCCATTTCAAGACTTTTCGTTCTTATCTACTTGCGTGGTACTCAACACGGACAACCCAAACCTTCGATACCCGCCTTCCGCGTCTTCGATCAGTCCCACGCGAAAGCGGGATTCTTGACGAAATTGTAAAGGACCCCCCCCCCGCGAAATCGCCAGTTGGGAATCGCTTGTAAGGGGACATCATGTGGGAACCACTGTTGGTGCAAACCGGGGCCCAACACCACAGTTTAGTGACCCATCGCTTCCCCTTGAGCATGAAATACCGGGTGAGAGCCCCCGGAGAAGCTGTTTAATCGAAAAGTTCAATGGCCACCAGGGGGGAATCAACCATTTTTCTTTGAATGAGAATTCAACAACAGTCCGCACCGCGGAACGTCACTTCAGTCACACGCCCATGGAGTGCATGACCGCTCGGCCCCCGAACTCTGATGGGGAGGTGCCGGGCGAGAGCGCGATTTGGAAATACATGTGTGAGGAAATATCATGCAGAATCCGATGTTGTAGTGCAGATTGCGAGACCCAGGCGGATCAATTCAGTTGACAGCATAAGGTACGTCGGGGGTGGGGCGACTATACTGTTGAGAAATGACAACCCATCGCAGCAGCAACACAACAACACCAGTCCGCGCTGGTGAACCGCCCATCCAGCCATGCGCGCAGGGGCAGTTGATCAGGGGTGGTCTGGCCGACCCTTAGCAAACCATCCTCTTCCTTGGCGTCCACTTCGGCACGCCTTAATACGCATGATGTATGTGGCCAGAGGGAGTCTGGGAAAGCGAGTGCGACGTCACAAAAGTGCGATGGTTTGCCAGGGGTCGGTTATTCCGCGCTCGAATGAATGACCTTTCGGCCACCTATTTTTGATAAACCATTTCGAAGGGGGCGGGGCTGAGGTTGTTCCCCCGTCCTCGGGCCTCCACGGGCCCGTCCGGGGACCTGGGATCTTCGGCTAACGACTGGTCCAAGGGCGACAAGGTACCCATATTCTGTTCAGAGTAATTGCCACGTTTTTGGCCCTTGAGCAACGCGGCGTCAAAGGGCGAAAATACATCTTCCCAAGGCCCACCCAGCCTCCCCCGACAGTCCACGCTTGACATCCAGCCCTTCCCCCTGACAAGTTGCATT